TCAGCAATTATGCGTGGGATAGTGCTCTGATGGGAACATTGACAGTGGCGTGATATTTAGGGTGAATTGTTTATGTCTACCAAAGGGGGACAGTTTGATCTTGACCAATGTCGATGTTATCACCAGGCTCTTTGTTTACAATATTAGAAATGTTTATACTTGTGCCTATGCTTATTTGCTAAGTTATGTTAAAGGGTGGGTGCGACTATAGATCTGTCACTATATATATATATAATTTTATTAATCAAATAAATTTTAACATTCTAAAAGTTCTACTTCCTTATCTAATAATTGTATTGGTTGAGCTTCTCGTTTCAAATAATGTTGTGTATTGTTAAATATATCGTCCTCTTCATCTTCAATGACTGTTTCAGGGACTTCAACGATATCATCATCCTCATCAAAAAGGACAAGAGTTGTAGATGATATTATATTTTCTTGAATCTCACGATATATTATTAAATCTCAATTTAAATTTGAATTTAATTTTTTAAGGTAACTCAGTTTGACTCTTTCTCTCTCTAAATTTATATACAATTTCAGAATAAAATGAAAAAGATCGAATTCATTTTTTTATTGTTTTTATTTAACCAATTAACTTACAATGTTATAGTGAGCCCATGCATAAGTATGCATACAATCATATCTTATTTTTCTCTTATCATCTTGAGAACTTAAAGCTACTATTTTATTTATTGAGTCTACAATTTATGTAAGTTAGATCTTCAAATGAATATGTTATTCGTTGTATATGATTTATTATTAAAAAGACAATCCTTAAAGCATTTTAGATTGATGTCTTTAACACAGCCTTCGTTCTCAAGTTTGAATCAGTCCATTTTGGGTCGAAGTCCTATAAATTCTTTCATTATCCTATCATTTTTCTCATCTTTTATCATGCCCAAGACTTTTTTTTTAACTCTCTTTTTAGATGTATCGAATTTAATTTCGAGATCATCTCTAAATTCTGCATAATATTCCTCAGGTTTAATTGTATATATTAAGGAGTCTGTACCCATATAAGTTATTTTAAACTTTTCTACCATATAATCATAATTAAAATCATACATTGAAATACATATTAATACTGTAAAACCTACAGAATATTAGTCGAGAATTTCACTAAAACTATGAAAGTTTGATTTTGCGATTAATGCCTCTACTTCCAATCTATTGCAGGACGTTGTTCCCCATGCAGTTACCAATTTAATGTTTTTACGTTTATTAACGTTTTCCATAGGAGACTGCTTAAGCCGGAATATACGGTACATGTTAGTTAACCACAATCCATTATGAATACATTGTTGAAGATTTCTATAACGTATAGGATATTAATATTTCGGTCTTAGGTCTTAGTGATAAATTAAATAATCGTATTTCAACCTTACTTAGCCACTGGAAATGACATCGGCCACCCATATAGATTATTTGAATCCAAATACATAAAATATTGAGAGGGACTTATGATTAGCAATTGAATATCTCTGACATATCTGTCTGTAAATAATTCTAATTCTATTCCAGTTGTTTTTAGCATAGCATCCGAAGATAACCCCCGAACAGTCTAATAATGGGCTGGGTCGAAGGAATAAATATTTTTGCAAATCAAACGAAAATGTACGAAAGTATCTGCAAGCAAAAGTACGTCTGTCTTTAAATACAGCCCCGTATAATATTTGAGAGTTTTACAATTTAAAACTCTCCACACGTTCTGAGCGTGTAAAAAACCATCTAAAAATTCTCTATTTGCAGGACTGCTGAAAAATTTTTTCCTTGGTGGAAGAACAGTTTCGTGCAAACATTAAATTAAGTAAAGTGTTTATATGGGAAAACTCCCTTACTATGTTATATTAAAGTGTGTTTCGTCCGGGAAAAACATTTGTGAAATTATTATATACTAAGTTAGAGCTAATACAATCTAAACTTATTGCCATAAATCGAAATGAGTCTAAAAAATGTATATCCAAATTTGTATTATGCTCTGTATATATGTGTATTGAGAGGTGTTCAGACAAGAGAGGTACTTAGCCGTCGCTACTTTAATGAAGTTGGTTCTGACTCCGGAACCAGAACAAAATTTTTCACCACTCACACTCACACTCGCACTAAAGCATTGTAACATTGGATCATAAAATACAGACGACAAATAACCTAAAGAGGGGTCAAACGTGTTTTTCTTACACCAACGGAAAAAATGTTGAGCAGAGCATAATCGCTCCCCAAGGATTCAAGAATTCAATAAAAGTTTAACTGCCATGCGGACGCCCTACCACAACATTTGGTCCTTCGAGCCGGATATTTTACAATGTTTGGCTATTTATATCCAGTTTGCCCCAGCAAGTATTATATGTCTGAACATATTTATATACCCTGAACCCAGTAAAAATGGGTATAAAGGTATACTATATTTGTGCAAAATCCAAATGTATGTAACAGGTAGAAGGCAGCATCTCCGACCCCATAAAGTATATATATTATTCTTGATCAGCATTAACAGCCGTGTCGATATAGCCATATCCGTCTGTCCGTCTGTCTGTTTCTATGCGAACTTGACTCTCCATTTTAAAGCTACCTTAATGAAACTTTTCAGGAGTCCATTTTTCTCTTTCTAAATGTCAAAACCAGCTGGATCGGACTACAATATAATATATCTGCCATAGAAAAGATCGTTCTAAAACTAAGTTGTATGGAAAAACATATTGCTTTCAAGATATCTTGACCAAACTCGACATGTATTAGTTTTACTTTACCCCTCATATACACGCAAAATAATATTACGATCGGACCACTATATCATATAGCTGCCATAGGAACGATCGGTAGAAAATTTAATTGTTGTATGAAAAAACATTTTGTTTTTCAAGATAACTTCACCAAAGTCGGAATTAATTAGTTTTACTTTACTCCTCATATAAACGCAAAATCATATTAAGATCGGACCACAATATCATAGCTGCCATAGGAACGATCGGGCGAAAATTAAGTTGTTGTATGATAAAAACATTTTGACTTGCAAGATATATTGGCCAAGCTTGGTATTTATAAGTTTTACTATACTCCTCATATATAAGCAAAATCATATTAAGATCGGACCACTATATCATACAGCTGCCATAGGAACGATCGGTTGAAAATTAATTTGTTGTATGGAAAACTTTTTTGTCATTTAAAATATTTTGATTAAACACGGCGTTTAAAGATTTCACTATGCTCCCTTCATCTTTGCAAAATCTTATTTATATCGGATTACTATATCATATATCTGCCATAGGAACGATCAGTCGAAAATAGCTTTTTGATTAAAAACCTTTTTTGTTTATCAAGATATCTTGCCCAAGCTTGGGATTAACTATTTTCCCTATGCTTCTTAATTACGGGCAAAGCACCGTGAAAAGGTTGGGTCTGAAGATATCTTGCCCAAGCTTGGGATTAACTATTTTCCCTATGCTTCTTAATTACGGGCAAAGCACCGTGAAAAGGTTGGGTCTGCAAGGGTATTAGACCTTCGGCGTGCCGAAGATAGCCTGTCTTTCTCGTTTTTCCTCTTTTTGCTCGATCAGTTTCCACCACACAGCGCGCTGTCAAAAGAAAATTTATCTTTTTCTTTGGTGATTCAATAAATTAATTTCATTAATTCATGTTCGCAAATTATTAATTTAATAAAATTATCCGCTTTCGTTGGATGCAATAGTACACACCAATTTAGTCATTCCATCTATTCTGATATCTCGATTCCATCGTTTCTGTGCCATTTTTTATTCCGTTTTCGCTCGCTGATTTAATTTATTTGGATTTGATCACATCCCACCCGGTTACTACAATTTTTGGTTCGGTGATGAGCCTAGTATGCCAATCAGTGGTGATCAAAACTTCCAAAAACGACTCACAGCAGCGTCCGATAAAGAACCAAACCGAGCGGTTTAACACTTAGAGCGGTTTTTGGGAAACTAGCACAACCGTCCGCAAGCCTGTGAATCCCAATCCAACAAGAGATATTACTCCAAAAATTACCTGTTCGACTACACTAAAGATGCAGAATGAATGAGTTCAATAACTGACCGACTAGGCCCGTTTGAAGTAAAGATCAATGAAGCAGCGGGTAGTGACGTGTCACTGTTCACTCTCCAAGTCCGATGAGATAAGATTAAGACTTTATGGAAAGAGGTGGAACGCGAGTACGATTTACGTTGTAAAGCTCTCAACATAAGCGCTTGCAGCAGCAGTGACCTTGTGACTATGCAACCCAGATTTGATTACTCGTACTTGGTTTACGGGCGATGTGCGGCTCGACTAAGTGAGAAAATAGAAAAAGCCAATACCTTAAATAGACAAGCTAATCAACACTCCTTCAACTACACATTGTCCAGGGGTTGCAGTCTCCCGCCATGCGACACTGAAGTTTTCAGTGGGGATTACCTACGGTCGCCTACTTTCCGAGACTTGTTTACAGCCGACTAAATAAACAACCCAAGACTGACTGACCAAAACTAGCGGCGGAGCTAGGGCTATTGTCTCAAAGTCCCCGTTCAAGAATGATGACTTTCAGTCAGCGTGGGCAAGCCTGACGGCGAGATTTGAGAACAAGCGACTATTAGTCAATAGTCAATTAAAAATTATTTTTTATCTTCCCTCATCAGCACAAAAGTCTAGAGCCGCCCTTAAAGGCTCTTGACTTGTCCAGGGTGAGCACCGAAAATTGGGATTGTCTACTCATTTTCTTGTGCTCCTATAAATTGCTGGCACTATGGGAACAATCGCTCCACAATAAGGCAGAGATACCTCAATGGTCCGAGATGAATTTAATTCTGATCGACCGATATCGCACCTTGGAGGCGATAGCGGATGTAATATGATAAATTAAATAATCGTATTTCAACCTTACTTAGCCACTGGAAATGACATCGGCCACCCATATAGATTATTTGAATCCAAATACATAAAATATTGAGAGGGACTTATGATTAGCAATTGAATATCTCTGACATATCTGTCTGTAAATAATTCTAATTCTATTCCAGTTGTTTTTAGCATAGCATCCGAAGATAACCCCCGAACAGTCTAATAATGGGCTGGGTCGAAGGAATAAATATTTTTGCAAATCAAACGAAAATGTACGAAAGTATCTGCAAGCAAAAGTACGTCTGTCTTTAAATACAGCCTCGTATAATATTTGAGAGTTTTACAATTTAAAACTCTCCACACGTTCTGAGCGTGTAAAAAAACCATCTAAAAATTCTCTATTTGCAGGACTGCTGAAAAATTTTTTCCTTGGTGGAAGAACAGTTTCGTGCAAACATTAAATTAAGTAAAGTGTTTATATGGGAAAACTCCCTTACTATGTTATATTAAAGTGTGTTTCGTCCGGGAAAAACATTTGTGAAATTATTATATACTAAGTTAGAGCTAATACAATCTAAACTTATTGCCATAAATCGAAATGAGTCTAAAAAATGTATATCCAAATTTGTATTTTGCTCTGTATATATGTGTATTGAGAGGTGTTCAGACAAGAGAGGTACTTAGCCGTCGCTACTTTAATGAAGTTGGTTCTGACTCCGGAACCAGAACAAAATTTTCACCACTCACACTCACACTCGCACTAAAGCATTGTAACATTGGATCATAAAATACAGACGACAAATAACCTAAAGAGGGGTCAAACGTGTTTTTCTTACACCAACGGAAAAAATGTTGAGCAGAGCATAATCGCTCCCCAAGGATTCAAGAATTCAATAAAAGTTTAACTGCCATGCGGACGCCCTACCACAACATTTGGTCCTTCGAGCCGGATATTTTACAATGTTTGGCTATTTATATCCAGTTTGCCCCAGCAAGTATTATATGTCTGAACATATTTATATACCCTGAACCCAGTAAAAATGGGTATAAAGGTATACTATATTTGTGCAAAATCCAAATGTATGTAACAGGTAGAAGGCAGCATCTCCGACCCCATAAAGTATATATATTATTCTTGATCAGCATTAACAGCCGTGTCGATATAGCCATATCCGTCTGTCCGTCTGTCTGTTTCTATGCGAACTTGACTCTCCATTTTAAAGCTACCTTAATGAAACTTTTCAGGAGTCCATTTTTCTCTTTCTAAATGTCAAAACCAGCTGGATCGGACTACAATATAATATATCTGCCATAGAAAAGATCGTTCTAAAACTAAGTTGTATGGAAAAACATATTGCTTTCAAGATATCTTGACCAAACTCGACATGTATTAGTTTTACTTTACCCCTCATATACACGCAAAATAATATTACGATCGGACCACTATATCATATAGCTGCCATAGGAACGATCGGTAGAAAATTTAATTGTTGTATGAAAAAACATTTTGTTTTTCAAGATAACTTCACCAAAGTCGGAATTAATTAGTTTTACTTTACTCCTCATATAAACGCAAAATCATATTAAGATCGGACCACAATATCATAGCTGCCATAGGAACGATCGGGCGAAAATTAAGTTGTTGTATGATAAAAACATTTTGACTTGCAAGATATATTGGCCAAGCTTGGTATTTATAAGTTTTACTATACTCCTCATATATAAGCAAAATCATATTAAGATCGGACCACTATATCATACAGCTGCCATAGGAACGATCGGTTGAAAATTAATTTGTTGTATGGAAAACTTTTTTGTCATTTAAAATATTTTGATTAAACACGGCGTTTAAAGATTTCACTATGCTCCCTTCATCTTTGCAAAATCTTATTTATATCGGATTACTATATCATATATCTGCCATAGGAACGATCAGTCGAAAATAGCTTTTTGATTAAAAACCTTTTTTGTTTATCAAGATATCTTGCCCAAGCTTGGGATTAACTATTTTCCCTATGCTTCTTAATTACGGGCAAAGCACCGTGAAAAGGTTGGGTCTGAAGATATCTTGCCCAAGCTTGGGATTAACTATTTTCCCTATGCTTCTTAATTACGGGCAAAGCACCGTGAAAAGGTTGGGTCTGCAAGGGTATTAGACCTTCGGCGTGCCGAAGATAGCCTGTCTTTCTCGTTTTTCCTCTTTTTGCTCGATCAGTTTCCACCACACAGCGCGCTGTCAAAAGAAAATTTATCTTTTTCTTTGGTGATTCAATAAATTAATTTCATTAATTCATGTTCGCAAATTATTAATTTAATAAAATTATCCGCTTTCGTTGGATGCAATAGTACACACCAATTTAGTCATTCCATCTATTCTGATATCTCGATTCCATCGTTTCTGTGCCATTTTTTATTCCGTTTTCGCTCGCTGATTTAATTTATTTGGATTTGATCACATCCCACCCGGTTACTACAATTTTTGGTTCGGTGATGAGCCTAGTATGCCAATCAGTGGTGATCAAAACTTCCAAAAACGACTCACAGCAGCGTCCGATAAAGAACCAAACCGAGCGGTTTAACACTTAGAGCGGTTTTTGGGAAACTAGCACAACCGTCCGCAAGCCTGTGAATCCCAATCCAACAAGAGATATTACTCCAAAAATTACCTGTTCGACTACACTAAAGATGCAGAATGAATGAGTTCAATAACTGACCGACTAGGCCCGTTTGAAGTAAAGATCAATGAAGCAGCGGGTAGTGACGTGTCACTGTTCACTCTCCAAGTCCGATGAGATAAGATTAAGACTTTATGGAAAGAGGTGGAACGCGAGTACGATTTACGTTGTAAAGCTCTCAACATAAGCGCTTGCAGCAGCAGTGACCTTGTGACTATGCAACCCAGATTTGATTACTCGTACTTGGTTTACGGGCGATGTGCGGCTCGACTAAGTGAGAAAATAGAAAAAGCCATACCTTAAATAGACAAGCTAATCAACACTCCTTCAACTACACATTGTCCAGGGGTTGCAGTCTCCCGCCATGCGACACTGAAGTTTTCAGTGGGGATTACCTACGGTCGCCTACTTTCCGAGACTTGTTTACAGCCGACTAAATAAACAACCCAAGACTGACTGACCAAAACTAGCGGCGGAGCTAGGGCTATTGTCTCAAAGTCCCCGTTCAAGAATGATGACTTTCAGTCAGCGTGGGCAAGCCTGACGGCGAGATTTGAGAACAAGCGACTATTAGTCAATAGTCAATTAAAAATTATTTTTTATCTTCCCTCATCAGCACAAAAGTCTAGAGCCGCCTTAAGGCTCTTGACTTGTCCAGGGTGAGCACCGAAAATGGGATTGTCTACTCATTTTCTTGTGCTCCTATAAATTGCTCGGCACTATGGGAACAATCGCTCCACAATAGGCAGAGATACCTCAATGGTCCGAGATGAATTTAATTCTGATCGACCGATATCGCACCTTGGAGGCGATAGCGGATGTACGACTACCGCACATACACATTTCAGTCCAAGCCCCACAAATAAATAGTAATAAATACCCTGCAAAACCTTCGAGGAAACAGTGACTACAAAAGACACAACACTGCGAATTGTGTCAGAAGGAAAACCATCCGTTGCGTCTATGCCCACTTTTTACAAATGTCCGTACCCGAGAGACTTTCTGTCATCAAACAACAAAAGTTGTGCTTAAACTGCTTCGTCAGACAGCACCAGATAAGGGATTGCACAAGTGGGCATTGTGTTTCACGTGCAAGGGACGTCACAACACTGCTTGCTCCACCGTGAGAGACCCCAGGTGCCCTCCGTTTCTGCAATACCAGTAGTTTTGAGCTCCCCTTCGTCTATACAGTCTACTTCTAGTTCCACCAAAGCTACCGTTCAAAACTACTTTTCCGCAAACTAACATGGTGTTCTCCTCGGAGCGGCTGTCATCAAAGTGTGTCATTTGGGCACAAAATATACAGCTCAGGCACTAATCAACACAGGGTCAGAAGCGAGCTTTTTATCAGAGCGATTATTCAAAAGGGTTAAACTTCCATATCAACCCGTTGACGCACAGGTCTCCGGTTTAAATCAAGCTATTTCGGCTCAGCCCCAAATACTCTGTCATTTTAATATCGGCTCTCCGATAATGCCCCGGCTAATATTGAAACCTCGGCTTATGTTCTTCCAAAGCTAGCTGGCAATTTGCCCTACACCATCCCCCAAAATGCTTTGAAAGAACTTCCAAAATTACACTGGGCCGATCTCTCTTTCTATAGCAGCTCACAGATCGACGTTCTTCTCGGAAGCAATAAAGTTTTTATGTGAAAATTTTTTTTTTGAAATTAGAGTTATGACTAGGTTTGATTTATAGATTTAATATAAATGAATATTTTATCATTTGCTCTGAAAATATAAAGTGCACTCATCTATATAAATATTATATGTTAATTTAGTAGCTCAATGTTATAATACGCTACTAATTCCATCTCAACTTGATGAGAATTCAAGCGCAAAAGATGTGTAGGCAAGAGCTAGTTCAGAAAGATGTTTGCCTCTTTCTGCAATTTTTTAGAGTAATACATCGTTTTATAGACATTTTATGATTCAATACGATGAATATGTCTCAACAAAAAGGTGTACCTATAAAAGTAGCATGCAGATCATCTGAAATTTACCTGTTAAAGAAGCTGAAAGATAAGATATAAGAGGAGAGGTTGAATGAGTTTTAATATTTGAAGAATTCTTAAGATTTGAAATTGCAATTGATTAATTTAAAAAAATTATTCGCAAAACTTCTTTAATGAAAATAGAATAAACAAAAAATATATAGTATTGTAAAATATATATTATTAAGTTTTACACGTTAAGTTACTATAAAAAAATAGATTTCAATTTATTTTCACTTAACGGCTAGTTTTGTTGAGTACATTCAGACTTGCTTCCCGAATATGAACTGATTTATCTAACTGTTGCGGTCGCTTAGCAAACTTCGCTTTTAGAGAGTTTAAGCTGCGTCAGCAATTATGCGTGGGATAGTGCTCTGATGGGAACATTGACAGTAGCGTGATATTTAGGGTGAATTGTTTATGTCTACCAAAGGGGGACAGTTTGATCTTGACCAATGTCGATGTTATCACCAGGCTCTTTGTTTACAATATTAGAAATGTTTATACTTGTGCTTATGCTTATGTGCTAAGTTATGTTAAAGGGTGGGTGCGACTATGGATATGTCACTCCCTCAACCATTAGAAAAGTGCCTGTCCTCAGGTGTTTAAGTTTGGATATAGTGTAACATTTTCTTATTTTACAATTGGTGTATCTCCTATTATTGTAGGTGTTTCTTCTACTTTGGGTTTTTTATATTTTATAATAAATTTCTTAGCATTGCTTTTCAACTTATTATGTCAAATACAGTGTTAAACTTATTAATATGATTACAAATATGGTTATTATAATTATCTGGAATACATTGTTAAATTTTGTATGTTCATTTATAATTTGTTTCGTTTGTACAAACGTAAATGCTTTGAGTATAATCTAACATATTGTTTGAAATTGAAATTTCATTAGTTTTCATTGAACAATTTAAGATTTTTATTATATTGTTTCCTTCT